CCCCAAAACCCCAAAACCCCAAAACCCCTGCAATCTAAATTCAAGTGTATCTATAGACTTAGAAATAATACATTTATAAATATCATTCATCAAACTTAAATTATGTTATTTAAGTGACGCTTTAAAGTCTCAAATAAAGGCTTTTATTAGTTATTACTATGTGAGTTTTGCAAATATCAAAACTCCTCTGTGTTTAGCACACTAACAATTACATTCTTATCATCACCTTCCATTAGGTTAGGTTGTCTTATTTACTTTTGATTGGATTTTCCAACTGATTTAGACCCACTCAGCATGCTAGTGTTCTTTGAGTTAGAAAGTTAGTCTTAAAGTTTTTGAATTACATTCTACCTCTTTCTCTAGCTAAGGTCATTATTTTAATAAGAGTCTTATTAGTGATAATCATCATCCTCTTCTTCTTCCTCCTCTTCATAATGATCCTCATCCTCATCATCGTCTTCATAATCAGATTATTGAGATATCATTTGCTATCTTCCAGTCTCATTATTTCGACTCTTTTTCTTGTTCGATCTGTTGATGGTTTCTTCAATTTAGTCTTGGATAGAGTTTTGTAAATCTTATCTTGGTATAATTTGCCACAATTCCCCTTTTGAATCTTGGAATAAGATCAATTCACTTTACTATTGACTAAGATCAAGCATATCTTAAATTTTTCCAAGATCTTGATAGTTTTTCTCAACAAACATTTAACTGAATGTATGTACTCTTCTATTGCTAATAGTAGACTCTCGGTCTGGTCTGTAAGACTCAAGGTATTGAATGCCCGATCTTTGACTCTAAAACCCACTTTCACATTCATTATCAAAACCATTACTTATATAATTAGATTATCGCTCTTTGAGTAATGCTTCCATATCTGTTTTCAATTACTCTAGTTCTTCCTAAAGGTCTTTCTGTTTTTGAATCATTTACTCTTACATCGCTTAATTGTTAGGACTACTCTGTTATGGAACAGGTTATCTAAACTGTGTTTTACAAGAAGGGCATAATATTGTAATATGAGCAGAGGAATTTTACTTGTTCTATTGTATTGATGATCCTGGTGTTATGTTATTATTGTTTGACTAAGATTTATTAAGATTGCTACTGTTGTTATTTTACTATGGATTATGCTGTTGATGATGGTTATTACCATAATTATTATTATGATTAACGCTAGTATTTACATTGTTAGTTTCATTCATTGTAGTGAAGTTATATTGAGTCATTGCCGAATTTTTAGGGGATGTTTGATAAAATATAGTTGTTGCCTTAGTAGTAGTATAAACATTGCCATTCCCATTATTATGAGCACTATAGAATTTAAATTAAAATAGGATACTTTGTAAAGTTATCTTTGTCAGGTATTTGCAATCTTAGTAGATCGATCTCTTTTTTAAGTTTTTGTACGAGTTAGTCACTCTATCCCACTGTATTTATGTAATCATCTATAATTTTGTTAGTAACTCAATAGCAAAAATATATATTTCTTTAATCTGAGAATCAATCGTAGTTTCAATATAAATCACACGAATGATAAATAATTATCCTGTTCTCAATGCTGTTTATATTTTTGTTACTTACCAAGGAGTTATTTGTTTTACTAAAGTGTAGTTTTCATGTCATTATTTCTATCTTAAAGCATTTCATTTTCCTTAACTAACTCTTTGATGTAGTTGTTAAGGTGCTTAATTTGATCTTCAAGCTTTGCAGTTTTGCTTTTTTCCTCATTCGTATGAATACTTGAGTTTGAGTTGCTCGAGGTCTGCTGATTATTACTCTTCACAAACTTCTTAAAAAGGCTCATATTTCTTACTATTATTTATTTTATTAATTTTATAGCAATTGTAAGAAAATACTATTACGGGGTTTTGGGGTTTTGGGGTTTTGGGG